CGGCATGTGGGATCTTCCTGGACCAGGGATCAAACCCGTGTCCCCTGCATTGGCAGGTGGATTCTTAACCACTGCTCCACCAGGGAAGTTCCTTTCTAGTATTATTTATTTCTGGTTTTGGTACAAAAATTGTAATTAGTCTCATTATATGAGTTTGGGGCAGGTTCCCCTTTTTTTCTCTTTTATGGAAGAGTTTGTGCACAATTGGGATTGTGCTAGGAGGCTTGGTAGAACTCAACCTTTGACATCTTTTGGGGCTTTGCATGTCTTTTGTGGGAGGGTACTGACTAAACTATAGATTCAGTTTCTTTAATGATTATAGAAATTTTCAGGTTGCTTGTTTCTTCATTTTCTTTATTTTTTTCAGACTTCTAAGTTGTAAAATATAATGCTCATATAGAAAAAGGCATAAAATTTAAGTGCACAGCTTAATTATTATAAAACAACCCATTAAACATGGGGTGTCAGGACCCCAGAAGCTCCTGCATGCCCCTTCCCAATCTCAACCTCCTTCCTCAGCCCCAGTTTTAATCACTGTTGTGGGTTGAATTGTGTCTCCCTCCCCCCCCTCCAAAAAAAAGATATGAGTCCTAATTCCAGTACTTGTGTATGTAATCTTAACTGTAAATAGGTCTTTGCAAACGTAGTCAAGTTGAAATGAAGTCAGACTGGAGTAGGGTGAGCCCTTAATCGTATGGCTGGTGTCCTGTTACGAGAGGTGGAGAAGAGACCCAGAGGCACACACACAGGGAGAGAACCCCATGTGACGTGAGGCAGAGATGCGAGTGATGTGTGAGCCAAGTAACCCCAAAGAGAAAGGCGTAGAACCGATTCCTCCTGGGCCCCTCACAGAGCAGCACATGGCCCTGCCAACACCTCGATTTCTGACTTCCAGCTTCCAGAACTCAGGACCACTGCGAGCTTGAGCCGAAGGGGACAGAGACAGTGCGAAATGAAGGAAGGAACTCCTGGGATTCTACCAGCAGGAAGTGGGCCAGTAGAGCTAGTTGGCTGAGAATGTGTTACTTGCTTCAGGCGATGGGAAGAATGGCTCAGAGGCTGGTGGGGCTGCTTCGGTCACCAGCGGCCCAGAGGCAGGACCACACCCCCTTGGCTCTGGAGGGCGGGGCCACCTCCTGAGGGCTGCTGCGCCCCCAGTCCAGGAGGACAGAGAGGGTTGCTCTCGTGCCTTGAAACCTAATGGTACTTGCCCTGCTGGGGTTTGGACTTGTTTGGGATGCATGGCCTCTTTTTCTTCCCTGTTTCTCTCTCTTGAAATGGAATGTCTATCTTACGCCTGTCCCACCATTGCATTTTTGAGATAGATAATTGTCCTCTAGGTTTCACGTGTCCACAGATAGAGAGGAATTTTATCCCAGGATGGACCATATCCAGAGTCTTAACCATATCTAATTTAGACGATTTAGAAGAGATTTGGGACTGAGTTGATTGTATTTGGATGAGATTTTGGACTTAGTGTTGATCCTGGAATGGGTTAAGAGTTTTAAGAGATGCTGGGATGAATGTATTTTGCATAGAGGAAGGACATAAAATTTTTGAGGCCAGAGGGCAGGCTGTTTATTGTGACCCGCCAAAAGATATGTTTAACTCCTAACCCCTGTTAACGTGTGCATGTGACTTTATTTGGCAATAGGGTCTTTGCAGATATAATCAAGTTGAGATGAAGTCATAGTAGAGTACAGTGGGCCCTCAGTCCATGATGACTGATGTCCTTGTAAGAAGAGACACAGAGGCGCAGACACTTGACGGGAGAGTGCTGTGTGATGATGGAGCACCATCTACAAGCCAGGGAAGGCCAAGGACTGCGGCAGTGCAGGCACTAAGAGAAGGGCATGGAGCAGGTTGTTTCCTACAGCCTTCAGAGAGAGGATGCCCAGCTGACACCTTGATTTCAGACTTCCAGCCTCCAGAGCTGTGAGAGAGTAAATTTCTGGTTTTTTAAGTCACTGAATTTGTGGTAGTTTGTTACAACAGCCCTAGGAGATGAATACAGTTACTGTCATGTCTTTAATGGTATCCGCTTCATTGTTGTTTTTCTTTACACTTTTATCACCTAAGTATGTATCCGTAAACACTATGGCTTACCTTTAAAATAAACTCTTGATATTAAAATAGAAGTTACGAAGACAGTGCAGAATTCCCATATACCCCCATATAGTTTCCCCTATTATTAACATCTTACATTAGTATGGTACATTTGTCCCAATTAATGAATCAATATTGATATATTTTATATTACCAGGGTTTATCCTTTATTCAGATTTCCATAATTTTTGCTGAGTCTTTTTCTTTTTTTTTAAACTAGAATGATCAGGTAGCAAAATAACATAGAATACAACACAGAGCCACATGAGAGAAAGCTGCGCCCTCAGGCTTGGGGTTGGGAACTCTTAGTCCCCATATTCTCGGAACATGTTCCATGATTCTCTGGGGCAGCAAGGCTGGCTGGAGCCCGAGCATCTCCCTGCTGACGGCCTAACTGGTCCACGCCCAGGGCACAGGCTACACACGTGGAGTGTGAGGCCAGACAAGTTACACCTGCTCCCCTATGAGCCCTTAGAAGAGGAGCGCTCTCTACAAAGGCCCTACACCTGGCAGGGATCGCTGGACCAGGGAGAGCTCAGAGGTTTAGTTCCTCTGTGGCTGAGACACATAAAAAGCCTAAGACCAATCTATGCGCAGATTCTCACTAACTGGAGAGGTGGGGAGCGAGACTGCCTCCAAGCCAGTGTTTGGTCTTTGGTAAACAAGGATAAATAAAAAACGTTCCTCAAGTGGGCTTGAGCAGAACTGGGCACAACAGGTAAAAGATTCCAAAGCACCATTTAGTGCCCGGCACAGAAGGAGACAGGGGAGGGTGTCGGGGTGGGGCGTGCTCTGCCGTAGGTAGTCTCTGCTGCCCTGGCCCCGACTCTGCACTTCTCCCTGCTTTCCGCATCTGCCCTCACTTCCCCGGCCTAGCCCTCACTTCCCCGGCCTAACCCTCCCAGCCTGGAGCGACAGAGCGGAAACCCCGGAGGCAGAGGCTGTCTGCCAGGGCTCAGAACCTGAGGCTGAGTGCCTGCAGCAGGGGGCGGGCAGGGCAGAGCATGTGCTGGGCCCTGGAGGCTGGGGCGAGGCTCAGAGCAGAAAGGAGTGCTCAGCTGCCAGAATGATGGCTGTCTTCTGCTCCAGGATCAGTTTTGAACTTTATATAAATGGAATCATACAGTATCTCTTTCCATGTCTCTTAATCTTGCTTTCATATTTCTTTAAAGCTTTTTTTCAGTATTTTCCATTCTGGGTAATAATTTTAGTGTATTTTTCGTCACTAATTTTCTCTTCACCCATCCATTGAGTATCTGAGTTAATTCAGTATACTTATTTCCCCCCAGTTTTATTGAGATGTAATTGATGCACAGCACTTTATAAGTTTAAGGTGTACAACATAACGATTTGTTACAAACCATCATGAGGTGATGACCACAGTAAGTTTAATATACTTTTCAATTCTGTTGTCCTATTTGGTTCTTTCTTTTCTTTTTAATTTTTTTTTTTTTTTAGCAGTGCCATGCGGCATATGGGATCTTATTTCCCCGACCAGGGATTGAACCCGTGCCTCTTGCATGGGAAGTGCAGAGTCTTAACCACTGGACCGCCAGGGAAGTCCCTATTTGGTTCTTTTTCATATCCACAAGGATTTTTTTGATAGTCCCTGTTTCTTCCATCAAACCTTGAGTAATCTTTCAGAATTTTATTGTACATATATGATACACATTTATGGTTACCGTCCCTATCTGATATTTCTGCTGTTTTGCAGTGTTTTGGGGTCTGGTTCTATTGTTTCTTTCTGCAGAGTCTTCCTTCATGCAACTCATCCCCTTTTTTGTGACTTTTGATTGTGAGGTCATATTCTTTGGGGTTTTGCTTATAACAGTTCGTTGAGGCCTGAGAGAGGATTTGTACTTGGTTCTTCCATGTGCCTTGGCTTACTACCTCCTTGAGACCTATTTAAGCTAAATTAGCATGTTGGGGCTTTTCAGGACACACGGGGGCATAATTCTAGCCTTGGCTGTGTGAGGGCCGGCCTGTGGTTGTCAGTTTCTCAGAGGGGATGTTTCCTCCTCCACTTAGAGCTCAGACTGAGAAGGAAATGCTGCTTCACTGCCTCTCTCTGCAGGGCTGCCTCCTGCCCTTGTGGCCTTCCACTGGGTCCCAGGGTTTCAAAAAGTCTCCAGTCTGATTTCCTGACTCTGGGCACTACAGTCTCATGAAAACCTGAGCTCCCGGCTGTCTTGCTGGATTCAGGCCTTTTCATTACTTTGGCTTCTGAGGACTTGATTTCTTTCATTATAAGCTCAGCCAATATATTTAAAGAGACGGTTTCTGTATTTCATCCTGCCTTTTCAGGGATTCTGTGCTCAGGGGGGTTTATGTTATTTAATCTGCCATGTTGTTGATAGTGAAGCTGTTGTATTATTCTTCATACTTTTCTAATTGCTTGGAATTTCATCATAATAATAAGCACTAAACTATAATATGACCACTTTTCCATGTCTTTAAATATAACTTTCTTAAACATCTTTTTTAGTGGACATGTAGTCTTTTATAATTATTCATCTATCCCCTTTTGATGGGTAGTTTTCCAGTAGTTTGCTGTTAAAAACACTGATGAAATGAACAGCTGTATACCTACATCTTGCGGTGCAGCCAAGATGAATAGTAGAAGTAATGTTACTGAGATGAGCACCGCTGAGCACCTCAAGGCTTTTGATACCGGTTACGTGTAGGCCGTTTGGAAGCCTGTCCTTAACAGTAATGTAGATCTGTCCGTGGCAGGAAGAGAACCCTGGGCTCTGGCTCCCGACTTGCTCTGAGTGAGTGTAGCCATCGACTCGGTGTCGTCACCGTGGAAGAGGAGGCATCGGTTGGTTAAGCTCTGGGGTCTCTGTCTCAGCACCCTTGGTTCTCACTCTGTGCTCTTTCTTCCCTGCTCCCAGGTGACGTCACGGTGGACTTTCCGATGCCCAGGATGCCCTCAGGCTCTGTCACACGACGATTCCCACTTTCACGAGCGGCACAAGTGTATCAACTTCTTTGTCAAGGTGTACGGCTATATGCCCCTGCTGTACACACAGTTCCGCGTGGACTCTGTGCTCTTCAAGACCCGCCTGCCCCACGACAAGACCAAGTGCTTCAAGTTCATCTAGGGGCGTTGCGCATATGGGAGAGGATGAGCAGAGTGAGAGAGGCAGCTCCTGAGGTCCCTAGACGTGGAAAGACCTCAGGGATGCCCACCGGGTGGGTGGCCCAGACCCTCTGCTGGGAGAGCTGGCAGGGAGAGTGGGAGGGACAGAGCTGCCTTGCTCTTGAAATCAGCCACACTGGCCGGAGCCCTGGTCCCAGGACACCAGGGCTCCCTACACAGGGCACTGGTGATAGCTTACACTGAGGGCCACAGGGACTCTGGAGAGTCACTCACACAGTTCATAAGCCCAGGGCAGCTGGTTTGTGGTTTTTAATTCACTAACAACTATTATTATTTAAAAAGAAAGTTTCAGATTTGCCATTCGAGGCTTATTTATATACATGTGTATATATATACACATATATGTGTGTGTATATATGTGTGCGTGTATATGTATATATGCACACACACTCACATATACATACATACATACATATATATATATATATATATATATATATTTGAGGGGGAGTTTGGCATTTCTGCCCATCTCACAAAGTGAGGGACACACCACAGTGGTCTGTATTTTGGTGGAGATAGATCCTGGCCTTCTGGTATCTGGCTCATCTTTACAGATCATCTCCGTCCTCCCCAGGGGCATCTATCTGTGTGCAGAAACAAGAAAGGGCTGGGCGTGGCCCTGTTACAGGGCCCTGCCCAAGATAAGACCTGTTGCCAACCAGGGCTCTGTAGCTCGAGGTGTGGGGATCTGCACCTTTGGGGGCAGTGGAGCCTCCCTGTGCAGGACTTGGTGGGTTTGAGGACTCCCCGCTGGGTCATGCTGTCTGGTTTCTCGGCCCAGCTCTCTCCCTACCCCCTGTTTGAGAGAGAAGACTGAGGAAGGACCGAGACCTGCGGACAGACCCCCAAATGGCTCTTCTTGTTCGACCCTGCTTTGAAAGACATGTTGTGCTTTGGCTACAGACTTTCCTGCAGGTTCTCTCATGTACGAGAACAGAAGCCTGGTGGGCTGCACTGCAGGTGTGGTCTGAGTGGTTGCAGGTCGGCCTACTCTCTCTGCCGCAGAGCAAACCAGCATCCTTTGATCCCCACCCGGCTGGCCGGGGAGTCACAGCAAGGCACCTGCCTTGGGATAATACCTTGGTGAAATTCACCTTCCCTGACCCCTGTCTGGACCCACATCCTATAGTTATTGGATCCCTCACGCCGGGTTGGTTCCAGGACCCCCTGAAGTTTGGTATGTGTCATAATGGTGGGAGGATAGGATTTGTTAGGTTAAGCTCAAATCCAGCCTGAAATGTAATAGGCATTCACACCCCACATTACCACGTTCCGCTCTGGGTTTAAATTTCTATTTCCTGGGCTGAAATAGAAGTAAGCTAATTTTTTTTTTTTTTTTTTTTTTGCTTTGCTTCCTTCTTCCTGCTCCTTTCCCTCCTTGAGTCCAAAGTCAGCTTCCTGAAACCCCATCTACTGTCTGTCTCATTCACAGCTATAACGCCAGGTATAGCGTGGGGCCTGGCACAAAGTAAATGCTCAATAAATATTTGTTGACCAATTGCTGAACTCCTCTAATTGTTCATGGTTAAAATTTCAGGATGGGCTTATTTTTTCTTTTAAGTTAGCTTTTATACATTAGTTGAATTATCATTAAATGAAATTAAATAAATTAACTCTTAGTACAAGTAAACTATGGTGTAGTTTAGTGGTTATGTCAATGGATTCAGAAGTCCAAGTTCTGGCTTTGTCATTCATTAAACATACATGCTTGAGGACCTTACATAAATTCTCCCTCCATTACTTTATTTGTAAAATGGGGATGATTTTAACACTCACCTTCAATTTTACAGAATGACTATAATTCTCATCTTTGTGATTGCACCTGTGAATATTATAAAAGGACACAAGACAAATACAACGTAATTGCTCAAATCTTTTTTTTTTTTTTTTTTTTTTTTTTTTTTTTGGTGGTGGCAGCAGTAGGGGAACCAAAGAGGGCGTTAGTGGCTGTTGGCAGGGATTTATCCCGTGACCTCTACCGTATTTCTTGTCCCCGCTTTCCTCCACTGAAGGCGAATCTTGGAGGTTCCCCACAACTGACTGAACAAAGGCTCAGCCTTGTCCTGGGCACATACATGCCTTAAGCCAGCTCCGTCTTCCCCTGACCTTGACATCCTGTGCTCCTGTCTCCAGGGGGCACATCCTCCTCTGACCTGCCTGCCCCAGATGGGTTCTCTTCAAGTATCATTTTGAAGCCAGGCTCTGTCCTGTGGGTAACAGGACACCTGTAGGGCCGCTTGACCTAAGGGACTCTCCCCGTCGGTGTACAGGACCAGGGCTCTGTCCTCCGGACATTCCCACTGGCATCTTCCTGTGGTTCCCCTGCTGAGGCAGCTACCTAGGAAACAGCTCTGCTGCTCAGCAGCCCAGCAAAGGGGTCCAGACCCCCTGCTTCCTAACTTTCTAACTCCCCCTTCTTTGACCTTTTAGCAGTAGCCTTCTTCCCTTTGGGAAGCCAAAGAGTGTGGTGTTTTGAGCTATAAATGTGGCTGCTATTTTTATCTTGTCTCTTTTAATGTGAGGAGCTCCTAGACTGCCTCTGAGTGGGCCTGGTGAGAAAGGAGCTGTGTCAGGATCCCCTGCACTGGAGCCAGAGCGCGGGATCCCTGAGCACTGGCGGCAGATCCAGAGCAGCTGGTACTCTGAGGCTGTGGATGATGTCACAGGGCTGTAGGGGGGATGGTGATGTCAGAGCACAGACGAGGGTGGCACTACTTGGACCTGAACAGGACACTGACTTGAAGGACTCCAGACAGCAGTCTCTGATGGACACTGGCCATGTTCGTGAAGGACCCTCATCATGGTGAGAGGGAGGGCGGTGAGAGCTTCCGGAGGCTTGGTTAGTTCTCCTGGAGAATGGCCGCTGCTTTTTGCAAGGCGGGTTAGATAGAGGCCCCGGTCCAGGCTTCGAATGCCTTTGATGCCGATCGGTCACCTTGGGAAGCCCAGATGTCACCTGCACCACCTGATTGACTCACCTGGAGCACGGGACAGCCCTGCAGCGCACGTGGGCTTCCTCGGCTGTCCCGTGAACCCCCGTTGCTGTCTTTGCTCCCACGGCCCAGCGCGTCTTTGCTCTCCAGCTGGCCAGTTTGCTCTTCACTGAGGCATCCAAATGAGGGGGAGCCCACCCAAATGAGGGGGAGCCCCCAAGGTGCTCATCAGGCCTTTCTGGGCTTTTGCACCTGTGCCATGTCCTCTGCCTGTGTGGCCTGCACCTCAAGCCAGGGCCCGTGCGCTGGGCGTGCAGGAGTGGTCCCTTCAGGAGCGGCCTGCCTGTGTGTGTGCTCGGGGAGCTCCTGTTTGCAGTGCTGGCGTTTGAAGGGGGAAGCTCTCTGATACTCATGCCATGTCCATCCACCCCACCCCTTTTCCAGTCATGAGCACAATGGTCTTACGTTGGATTTTTTGTAAAAAAAATAAAATGGAGACTTTAACTCGAAGCTTGGAAGTCTTTTGTGGTTTTCCTCTGCAGGACGCTAGAGTCGCCTGAGGGAAGGTGCCTGCCCGGTTCCAGGAGCCACCCGTGCACGGCCAGCGGGCCCCTCCCAGCACGACTGTACACTGTGATTTGGTCCTGGAGCAGCCTGCGTGCCTGAGCCCGGCTGATGCTGTCAGTGGGCATGGTTGCGGGCACCCTTGTCTGTGTCCGTCTCTGGGATTAGTCATTTGATTACATAGAGAGGAGCATAGGTGTCACCGAACTGGTTTGAGCGGGATGTGGGATGGCATGTGGCACGTGTTGGCCACCTTTACTTTTTCACGGTAACTTTTCAGTGTGTGTGGTGTGGTGCCGGGGAGCTCAAGTGTACGTGCTCCCAGCCCAGAGGAGAGGGCTGGCTTAGAATGGTCCCGTCGGTCTGGGGGTTATTTGCTGACTTCCAAGGAGCCACAGAAAGCTCCCGCATCTAGTTGGTGCTTAACTGTCCTTTTGATGTCTGGCTTCTGCTCAGCTGTGGGATCAGAGCCATCCTCAGGGAGCGAGCACCGAGTCATGGGCTTGGAGAAGACGGATGGAGACAGGAAGGAGGATGGAAGGCAGAGAAAAGCTGAGTTGGGGGTGCTTCTCTCCTGGGTTCTGCAGTTGGGAGTTTGGTTTGTACTAACAAGCTTAAGGATGCTTGGGACCCACAGTTCAGTGTTACTCCGAGACTAGGGTTGACAACTGATGCGGTAGGTTTGTGGCAGGTGAGGGGGGAAGATGATGTCGTATCGGGTGGGGATGCCTACTTGGTCTGGAGCTGGAGCTGCCAGGCTCCTATTCTTGCAGCCATCCATCTCCTTGTTACCACGTGTGCTGGGGCCAGAGAGACAAAGTGACATGAGGCTGTCGAGATGGGCGTGGTACTAGACACAGAGATACCATGTCTAACTTAGGTTCTGTTCCTGCTAGTTCTGGCTTGGACTTAGCAAGGTAAGCTGAAGTGGTCAGTGTTAGTGGTTGATGTTATTGTCACTGAAATCGAAGATTCCACCATATTTTCAAAAATGTGGTTAAGAAGGATAATGCTGTGGTTAAGGATATGGACCCTGGAGTAGACTCTGTGGGTTCAGATCCTGGGCCACCCATTAAACTGGCGGGGAGCACGTTACATTCTAAACTTCTTATCCATAAAATGGCAAGGAGTGTGCCCACGTCTTGCAGATGTGTTGAAAGTAAACATAATACACGTGAAGAGTCCACTGTTGGGCACACAACAGAAATGCACTGTCACTGGGGTAACGTACTGGAAACTTCTTAGTGGCACTTTCTGCATTCCAGCTCATTCCAGGCTCAGCTGAAGCATTGCCTTCAAGAAACCCTCCCTTCTCAGAAGTTGCGTGTCCCCCTCTAACAGCCGCCACCGCCCCTGGCCCATCTCCTGTTATAGCAGCTGACCTGTCTTACTTCACCGCACACTGTAATGGTTATGGGTCTGCTTCCCATAAGCCTCTTGAGAATAGAGCACTTAAGTGCTAAACAGTTTTTTCCCTCTCTCTCTTCCTCCTTGCGAAATAGTTTTTTGATGAATGAAATGATTTGACGACAAAATTAAGGGGTGGGGGTCACATAGAAATCATAGCTGGCAACAAGCTGAACAGTAATCAGTACCATGGTGCCTTTGGAATATAGCTAACGTGGTATTACCAGAGTGTTGCAGGAAGTTGGCATTCAACAGCTAAGAAGTATTATATTCACTATTTTTATTATTTAAATCTTCATTGACAAAGGGGGTTAAGAGAGCATGGCAAGAATAATTAAACACCCAGAATGGATTCCAGAAGAGATCATAAA